TGAGAGGCGCTATCGAGCGGCTCCGGCGCAGCGTCATACTTAGCTACTACGCAACGGAGGCGCACAGCTGGCCACGCGGCGGCGACAGTGCGTCTGCCGCGGCTTTGATGTCACTCCTCTGGAATGCGCAGACCGGGGAGGCGAACGCGGCGGCGGCTCCGGCGCGCCAGCTGTGCGCCGTGTGACGTCACTGCTCCTCGCGCACGCGCAGCACGGAGCACGACTCATTATGCGAGCCACGCGAAACAGCTCAACCTCGGCCAATTAGCTCACGCTACAAAATGCAGAGCATCTTACTGCAGTAGCTTCATCTCGACGAAGACAAAGAGATTTGTTTCGCGTTATGGGACGCCGGCGAACTCGTCAAAAACGTTATTGACACTTCCGCCTTCCTGCGGGACCTGGAGTCATGGAGCGAAAAGTATGAGGCATTCTTCCGTGACCTTCAACGAAGCCTGATATGTGACACAAGAACCGCCTTACTACCCAAGGCAATGACGTTCCACTTCGATTTTGCGGAAAATTGGACAGTACTCTTCCCAACCGAAGTGCGAATTTTCATTGAAAAAAAAAACAACGAAAGGCTTGTGTCTCTCTTCCCATGTGTGGTAACGTCCCCGCAAGGCACGCAAAGCATTGCCGTTCACCGATGACACGACACATGACACAGCTCACGGTCTTCTAGCTACAGACCCATAGAAGAGTATATTGATGAACATTACCCAGCCTTTTCTGTAATAATTTTTGTATCAGACGGAGCGGCGGCGCATTTCAAGAATCATTTCCAGTTGCACGAGTTGTCTCGGAAGCCGTACTCTTCGACAAGATGGATCTTTTTAGCCACTGGTAACGAAAAAAAGCGCTTGTAATGGAGTATGTGGTGTTCTTAAACCCCACGCAACGCTCACCAACTTGAGATCTTCGCTCAGCTCAACGATTGTCATTGCTGCGTGAAAGTGCTGCGTGAAAAAGTAACAAATGTCTGCATGTTCCACCTGTCTGCGGAACGGGTTCGAGAGTTTCGTGCGGTGAAGCAAGCATAGCGGACCACCGTAAAACCTGTGAAAGGGATCTAGGCATCTCATCTGTGGAAGTCATCATATGCCGAGAGGCCGGATGTATACATGGCCAGTTGCGCAACTGAGAGTTTCAAGCTTATTTATGCATAGTTAGCGAATTTGCAGAATCGGGCCGTTATGTTTTTGACAATTGTAAGCTAAGTAATGGTATTTCAGCTCAAAGTCCCTTTTCGTGTCAGTTATACCCACCCCTCTTCAAAAAAAGGATTTGAGAAATAGAAAATACGTGCCATAACTAACGCTAAAAATGTTTGGCGCTGTGCGGCAAAGCCGCTATGACGAAGACGTCGGCTTGCTCTGAGTGAAGGTTGGTCGTATCTTTTCCCGTATGGAAACATATGTCACTCAATGTTTTGCCATCAAACGTTGATTCTAGTCACTGCAAAGTGCCAAGGGTAGTTAAAAAGATATAAAGTTTTTTTTTTTTTTTATATCTACGCCTAATCTTGCACATTTTGAGAAATCAGCAGCATTTCCGCCTTAATAACAAAAAGACAATTCAGCGTGGGTATGCTATCTTTATATATTCGTAAAGAATATTTAAAGACGAGCTTTTTGATATGTTTTGTGAAGTACTAGGAAAGATGGCTTATTTGCAAAACAAAAATTGTAAATATGCCTCTAAAACGCGTTTTTAGGCCGTGTCTGTATTCTTTGTTTGCATATAGATAATTTATTGATATTTTTTTCGCGCATGTCTCGCACATTTTTAGAAAAATGTATTAAAAAGTTATGGTGACGTGAAAGCTTTGGTGAGAAAATGACGACTGGGCAAAGTAGCCATTGCGGAATCTACAATTTCCATGCCTCGGGCTTCTTCAGTTTATATCTCAGCAAAAAAAAAAGTTATGGCGTTCATATATAGCTGAATGTTCCTCCCACAAACATGGCTTTCATATATATTTTTAACAAAGATATAAAAATTACGACCCGGACCATCATTTCACGAACTGACGTGGAATCACCCACCTACCTTGTAGATCGGGGTGACAACGGCGTTTTTTCATGACGAAGTCATGGAGACAGAATCAACAATCCGTATTAACAACCCTGCCAGAAGGGGGTGAAAGTTTTGAGCTGAAAGCTTAAAGAGTGAATAATGTACAGCATCCTCGCTGGGGCTCTAGAAGGGGAAGAGCCTGGTGAGAGCATGCTTTAAGTCGTCCCCTGTTACGGTGATGGAAGGCAAAGAATCGGTTCTAGTATTCGGGGGCGCAGAGAGAACATCTCCTGCGCGTGGTGAAATAGTCATAGGAGCGCTGCGGCGAGATCAGATTAAGGCGGAATGAGTGCTAAGAAGTTCAGCTATTTCGGTTTGTGAAGTAACCGGTTTGTTGTCATGGAGAAAAAGAAATGGGCTCACCGATGTTTTTCGCTGGTGTTTGACGTAGGCCTCGAAGCGTTTCGATTTTTCTTTGTGACCAAGGCCGCGATGTCTGTTACATACTTGCGGTGAGCCATATAGACTTGTTTGTTTATTTCCCTCTCAGTAGATTTGGCCTCTGCTAAGCAAGCCGAGGAGTTCTTACGCTTGGCCTTCATAACGAGCTTTCGTTTGCGCCTTGAAAAACGAATGATCTCTTTGCTAATCCAAAGGTTCTAAATTTCCGATGTGAGCGGGTCTCTGGCACACATTCAATTTCGATGGCTGCCATAAAGTTAACCCAAGCCTCGTACATGTTGTCGATTGAAGGTTCATTCAGGACCATCGACCACGGCGCGAGATGCAAAAGGGTTTGCAAGTGTACATTATCTGTTTTCTTGTACAGGTGCACAAAGGCGAGCGGAGCGTCCATAAGATGGGATGAATGTGTGTGTAAGAATATGGTTTTATGGTCGGCTGTTTAGGAGATTTTTTTATGACTTCACAATCCACAACTAGAGAACAATACTGGACAAAGCCGAGGTCAAGGTGTGACATCGTACCGGAAGGTGACATGTAATGGGCTCTAGACATGCTTGGGTGAAGCCAGCATATTCGACGATTTCAATTAGGCATTCGAAAGCTTTGTTCTAAGCCACGTGAAGGAGTGGGTCGGAAAACGAGCGCATTAAAGTCGCCTATGATTTAGATATTGGTGTACGACGCGCGGCTATGTGATCGAGGTCGAGCGATCTGCTTAGGGTCTCATAAGGTGCTTCGCGTGAATCTGGGGGCAATAGACGAATGAGTAGGAAACAGTCCGGCCCGATTTTGATCTCAACGAAGATTGCCTTGAGAGAGGCATCCTCAAGGTCACTTCGTCGACGACACGGGAGATGGGCGGGGACCATGCACCACAACTCGCCCCACACGGAAACCAGGGCGATCACGGCGAAAATGACAAGCTAATCATGTATCAGACAATGAGAACACAGTTTTAGGAGATGCGCCATGTAGGGCACTAAAGTCTGGTATCTTATTTCTGATCGAAGGGATGTTTGCGGGCCAAATGTTCAGATTACGCGTGCGCTTCGGCCTGGATGTTTGTGTCGTGGACTGTGAAGAGAAGGCGGAGAGCACCCGGATGGGAGGTAGGAGGGTAGGTGTCGGGAAGATAGATTCATCGAAGGGTGGGTGTTGGCACGCACCACAGTGCCTCCCCTCGTCAGATGGAGAGAGGCGGCAATAAGCTGGAAAGGAGAGGCGTTCGCCCCTGCGGCGCACCCAAAGATCAGACCTGTCACACTGTAGTGCTGCTGTCACACTTGTCAGACTGTTCTGCTGAGTTCTGATGACGTGGCACAAGCATTTGGATACCCTCCTCCGAGAAGGTTGCCGCCTGAGTCATTCCATCCCCTGTCAACTAGACACACGATGGAAGTTGAATTTTTGTTTTGACTTGTATATTATCATATATTAAGCATTGTTCTGGCAAGTCCGAGAGTCACCAAGAGGAAGTGCACCGGTGATACGGCCTTCTTAGCCTTGCCTCTCTCGACCACCTCTGCTCGATCTGCTAAAAGTCGATCGACACCGTACATTTTTTATGATATCGTTATACAGTTATCGGGGGTCAATAACTATCTTCTCAAGCGCCCTGTTATCCGAAACAGAAGCAAACTTTATTATCTTTGTAGAGCATGTTGGTGAGTAGTACTCTACGGTGGCGCGCTGAATTTCCCAGGCTGACGAAAGAAGAATGCGGTCGAGTCAGGATTGGTCATGAGTACAGTCTGCGCCCTGATTAGCCTTGGCTACAATCAATGTATCGGCGCACGCTGGGGTTGGGGTTAGAGTCCCGTAACCGAAGGGACGAATATTCCCGGGCTCCAATACTAAATTTAGAGCAGCCGGTTCCAGCCCCACGCACAGAGCTGTGACAAACATCGCTTTCGTAGAATTAGCACCCCGCATTGTGATCAATTCTTTTGTACCAAATGTTGGGGAAGTCAACTCCGCTCAAATTTTTCCGAGTTATTTCCTAGAAGCGTCTAGTGCGTGGAAAGGTGAAAAAAGATATTCTGAATCTGGTTATGTCTAGGTATTATAAAAATATTCGGGAAAATAAGAAAATTGTTTCGTGGTCCCACTAAAAAACCCAGAGGCTATTTATTTGACACGTAAACCCTCCATTCTTGACGGACAAGCTTATTTGATCACTGTTAGCAAAATGCTAATTCGTTAGAACAACTTATCTGGCGGTTTCTCGGGCTTTCGTTTAAAAAAAATTTATATACGGTTACTAATCTACATTGTAAATTTTAAGGGGCTGCAGGCATTGTATTGACGTGTGACTTTACTCTTCTTTTTTTTTTTGGTTCTGGGATGGCCTTCACATTGCTGTCATATTCCAGGTTGTTCTGGGGCATTAAATAAACCAAGAAGTATCAGTGGTACCATTACTATTCTTAAAATGCTCTCATACACGCATCTGGTTGTCGCATGTGGCCTCTCAATTAGAAAACAAAGAACAAATAAAAGGAAGGTACACTGCTTACGAATGCTGGTCACGTGTCGGATGTATTCCAGGTAGTCCGCAATGTTTTCTCGTTCTTTGCAGCGCCGGAGACAGTCACAAGGAAACCCGTGAAATGTTTCGAGGACAGTGCCGTTGGGGGCGAAATTAACGTCGGCCTCCAGAGCGTTCGCACCACGAGTTAGAAAGCGATCTACTTCGTGAATGGAGTTCACCATATGGCCAATGATGAAGAAGGGCCGCTTCTTCGCGCAGTTAGCCGCCTGCAAGAGCATGGTGCGTTGCTACGGTGTGCTTCGCTAGAGGCGTGAACCTACATGTGAGGTGTGGCCTTAGCATTCTTGCCTCACCCACGCGCTCAAAAATAAGTTACTTTGTAAGCAAGAACTATTGACTGGCTTGGGCCTTATATTTCTTATATTGTCCCATACTCATTGCTTTAATTAAGTTTGCTATTCCAGCGTAGTTATTTTGAGCCCATCACAAGATTAAAATTAATATAAAGAAATTAAAATACTCTCATGTTCCGCCAATTACTTTTTGCTATTTCCAACCTAGACCTTGAACTTTGTACTCCGGCAGTGCTTGCCTCAGTGTGCAGGGAAAACAACATTTCAGAATGCGTCAAACGAGTGAACTATCAAACAAAAAGGCTTACCAACGGGAATAGAAGCAAGAACCATAAGAGGCTATGCAAGAACACGTATAGTTGGAGAGAGCTATTACTTGTCATGCTGGCCCTGGAATGTCAGCTGAAAGAAAGGGCGTAATTTTAAATGCATATAATGAATCAGCAGAATAATTACATTGAATTTCCCGCATTGAAAAAACAAGATTGTTATTAGAAATATCATCCTCGGGTGAAATGATCTACCGCGATATAACCTAGCAAACGTTGTAGAGGTTCAGATTGGTAATGCCGTTTCATATTTATTCAAAGCGAATAAGAGCTATATCTGTTCGACGAGGTGTTTTGTTGTGAATATTATCTGAGACACAATCTTTTATATCTAGTTGACTGCAATTAGCTTGTATTTCAGAAATGATAGTCGGCGGAGAATTATAATATTGCTCGCCCTAAAGTTTCCTCAGCTTCAATTAAAGCCGAAGACTGAAACGAAACATACTTTTCAGGGGAGCTGTTAAAGGCTAGTTTCTCAGTACCGTGTCCGCCAGCAAACAAATGATGACACAAAACTCTGGAGAGCTACCGCCTTCTATAAACGACGGCGGCAACCTTTCCAGCCTTTCTACTCTAGCCAACTTGCGGCCGGCCATTACTTTGTCCCCACTATTGTGCAGCTTCGCTGGCCTTCCTTCTTTTTTACTAGTGTTCTCAAAATATGCACACGCCTACATAGCCATAATATGTTATGCTTCCAAAATGGGTAGTCTACCGCACCCTAGATTTCAATGCATGAATCTTAGGGCCCGTTCGCACATTTGCAACTTCTTAGGACCGAGTGCCTTGAAACCCGATAGATGGCGCACTGGCGCCATCTATCGGGTAGCGGTGGAAGACTTGGCGGTCCCGTGTATTTTCTATTTCTTATCATCCTCTTTTTGTTGGCTTTAAAAACCTTTGTGAATGTTGTAAACGGTCATTTCTCACAAAACGCACATTCGGCCTCGAAAATAGCGGAAAACCTCCCTCTAGAGAAATGCAGTTCGAATGTCCCTGCATAGATGGCGCCAGCGTGCCATTGTGTTCTCTCTTTGTAAGAGATTTTTAAATATTTTAAGGCACTCAATTCTTAAGAGTCTCAAGTCTGTGAACGGGCTTTCCCGTTAAAAAAAAAAAATATTTTGTCACACGAATATTTACTTACTTTATGCACTTTAACGACGAGGTATAATGCTACTCGCTCATTTCCGGCTCAAAAAATTAAAAAGTTTTAAGCCTCTACATATAGAAGTTAATCAGTAAAGTAAGCACTAAGAATTAAAAAAAAAGAAAATATATATATATATATATATATATATATATATATATATATATATATATATATATATATATATTAGAGTGCAATATACATTCTCGTTCACGGCGTACTGTGTATATCAAGTTGTAAATTATGATATTATTGTTATGGGTTAGTGATGATAATTAGAGTTTTAACTGGCTGAGCTCGTGATTTAAGCCCTACATGTATCGAGAATCGCTTTGCTACTACACTAAATACTTTACTATATGAATAAACACAATCATTAGCGAAAAAAAAACGCAAAAATGTTCTACATTGTTGTCTTTGAAGGTTCTACACACCGAACAGCTCAGAACTTGAGCAAGACCGAGACAAGTGTACGCACCTTATTTGAGCAGGATGCACACCGTGTATATATAAAACGCGTTCCCACATGTGGACCCTATTGCTAGTACCCTTTGTTCCTAAAGGTTAAACTGACAGACAATCAATCAGGCATGCTCTAAAAATATGCGCCAGGCAACGACAGTTCCAGCTACTCGTCGTTTTCGAACCTAAAACAATTTCTGAAAAACTACCCTCGAAATTGTATGCGTTGCTATGCACTCCTTTGTGGACCTTTATTTTGAATTCCCACCAAATACTGTAGATAGATCGAACATTAAAGTGATATCTTGAATGTTGGATACACTTGATAAAATACAGCATCTAAATCACATATGTAGCTCTAATAGTGTGGGCATGTTGACAAAGCTGTCAATGTCTGGCCTAATTTTATTACGTTCGTTTTGTTGTAAAACACGGGTATCTGTCTGCATGAAACGTCCAATTCGTAAAATTAATTTAAATAATTTAGTTAGACACATCTGCCTTGACTCGAACCCTTCTACCGAGAAACTGAGGTTCCCAGTGATTCATTTGTTGAATTTCCTGCGAATTGTTAGCCCAGACGTAGATAGTTGTCGATGTTTTCGATTTTTCTCACAACACTCATCATTCAATAAACTACCTGCAAACGTTGCCCGTGGTGTGTAATACAACAATTTACTGCATAAACGTGAACTTCCTGTGCCCGAAAATAACTTGCAACAGTAAATCTCAAGGCGCCAATGTTAAGTAGGGGCTAGTTGCGTCTCACAATGTAGTTAAGCATTGTGAACTTTCACCCGAAACAAAGGAAATGTTTATCACAATCGAACAGATCATCTACACACTCACATTTTACCCAGATCACACCGGTAGCTTTACAACTCAGTGTTACTAATACGACTTTTTATTAAGTATCACAAATCGCAGTACCGTTGAGCCCCTCAACTGCAACGTGCAAGCTCTTAATAATATAAAAATAACTCAGGTGCACATGTCCATCATTGGATAACGATGGACATGATAGGGCACGCGAGCATAATCTTTCTGTGCAGAACAACGCGGGGGGACACCTGGCAGACCACTGCAGGCGATGTGCTGACTGTAAGCCTCTTTTGGCTGAAACAAAATTTTTAAAGAAATCAAAAGATAAGACCGAGAGAGAGATTATAGAGGCGTTTTATATCAAAAAGAAAGATGACAAATGCGTTAGCGCGCCCTCTCTCTTTTTGCTTCAGAAAGAAGTAATGTTTCTAGATAGTTGCTTGTGAGAGCGGTGATTGGTTGCAGTGTGGGTTTGGCATACGATCTTGTGTATAAAAGTGACAGTGTTGTTTCTAATAAAATCAGTTGTGAGTTAGCGCCCGTCCTGTCGTCTTCGTGTCTTCATTGTCCTTGTTGTGTTGCGCTTTTTAACCTTTTAAATCAGTATGAACCAACTCGCCCAAACACAAGTTTTAATTTTCCATCATTGTGTTCATGTGTACTCTCGGTCTAATATGTTTGCTTAGTAACAACAATGAATATATTAAATTGTTTTGTTATTTGACAATGTTTATTTACAGTTGTTCAATTACACAAACGGTGGTCACGTCAATGATCTACGAATCGAGGCTCGCAAATGTGCCACAAACACACAACCGACGTGTATGTGGGAACAACTGGCACAACAGTGTGGGAAGAACAAAGAAACAGCTCTTTCACTACATGCTAGTATAAAAATGACAATCACTACACGTATTTCACTTCATTTTCAATAAACCGCGACATGAGTAAATATGTTTCACAGAAATTGTGCATTCTTACTACCAGTAACAGGCTCTGAAAGTATGGACGGAAATATCACACCTACACTGTGGAAATAAATAAATAAATATACATGGACACTTTCAACAAAACACATTTCAACTCATATGCGTATTCCTCATCTCTAACTGTACACTATAAGGCGCCAAACTAGAAGCCCACCCTAAATTCTGAAACATTTAGTATGCGTTTTAAATGACTCCTGGTGAAGTGACATTGATGTCGCAGTCTGTTAACTCTTATTTTACAATTGAAGGTCAGTGCGTCCTTGGAAACTGTGAGCAATAGAAAATGTACTGAAGGGGGAGTTAATACCTACTCCTTTAACGAAAACTAAATCACTAAAACAACGTGAACAAAATGCACCTATATTTTTTTTTGAAGGAGAAAAGGAACTATGAATGAAAACACAAAATATTAAGAATTAGCAAGTTATTTGTACTGCACACGCTCATGGTTCTTTAATGAAGAATGTCAATACTTGCTCATAGATCTGACAAATAGTTTGAGCTATTTTATGTATTGTAGTTAACCAAGTCATTATCATCTAAAAGATCACCAATATATTTCATCCCCCAAAGTGTCATGATAATTGGAAGTCATTTTCTAAACATGTTAGTAACGACATCTACTAACTTTCAATATTTCTAAACAAGAATTAGCATTGATCATAAACTTTGTGACATGTATGTATTGACAGAAATATAAATAACATGATAAAGGATATAAAATGAAACGAATAAAAAAGCTGGCGGATATCAAAGAGGCGTACTTTAACTTCTGCTTACGTTTTACTAAGGCGAACACTTTTACATTCGGCTTTTTATAGGTAATCACTGTAATAGTTATGTATTTAAAATTTCTGGCCCTGTTATATACAATTTGCTGGACCCTAACATTGAAAACGCGTTTTAAACATTATTACGCAGAGGACAAATTGCTTTTCATAAAACAATTTCTTGAAACCGAGTTGCTTAGTTTATATCGGCTGCAAACAAGGAAAGGCAAGGTACCATATTTCCTCCACTAGAACTTGTTCTTTTAGGAATATTATCTGCGAAACGCATAAAACCAATCATACCAATATGTAAAAAATGATTTTTGAATGACGAGGCACCGATGACTTTCACAGGAAAACGCTAGGTGTGCTGGGTTGTAAGTTAAAGAGCCAAGAGCATTTCTGCTCTTGGCTCTTTAACTCACAATGTGCCAAGAGCATTTCTGCAGTGCAGATGACAATTTGGTATACAAATTTGCCTGTCAAAGTATTATTAATTGCATTGGTGTTCAATTTGAGGCTCGTCTATTAACATATGACGAAAGTCTTCGCCACTGGGAGCTAATTTGACAGTGATGGCATAATTATCTAAACTCCTTGCGTTGCTGCGCCGATTGGCTCGGAACGACTGTGTCTTTGTGGGAGAACACATAAGAGAAATATTTCCATTTACTACATCAATTGTGTTTTGGTAAATACATTCTATTTGATAAAGAGGGGAATATATTTACGAAAACGAGAGAGTACCAGTGCATTTCACCGCGTACTCTCTCGTGCAAGGGTAGCGTAGAAGTGTGATAAACTTCTTGAAATAATTTAGCAGTGATAACACCTTGCTAAGCCATTTTTTTGTGCACCTTCATCCACGTCTTTGATAAGCTCGAGCATTTTCATTTTAACGTATCCAATCGGCAATATAAAATGGTTGGCGATATCGCCACACTAGAAAGGTAAAATTCTCTCATGAACCTTCCCGCTGCATTAAAAAAAAAAAAATAACGCCGTGAAATGAAGGCTGCGCAACCATGATCTATGTGCACAGTGTTCCTAATACACAGCTAAATAATCATCTCTCTCGACCGAGAGCATTCAGGAAGGCTTTGACCTACGAGGATCCAAAATTATTGTTTTCGTCCGAACAACTCTTTGAAGTCGCATTGGTGTTTCTATTGCTGAGATGACGGTTCGTACTTCGATACTTGACGTTGACGTTCCCTTCCAGGTGACCTAGTAATGGTAGAAGTCTATGTCAGCGAATCTTGTTGTTAAGCCAATGGTAGTAAGTCTCTTCGGCCACTTCTCGAGGGCTCATGGGGGGCTCGTCGTAATCTCTAGAGCTGCGACTTCTGAAAAGCTTTCCAGAAAACCTAGAGACAAGGTAAGCCCAGAATTGCTGAATGACCTCGGAGAAGTCGCCTAAGGCGTTCATGACGGGGCTTCCTGGGGTTCCAGGAACCTGGACTTCGACCTTGACCTTCTTCCACGGCGTGTCTTGAGGATTGGCCAGCTTCACCGCTCTGCGAAATGGTCCTTCCATGATGATCGTCGACACTCGCTCCGGATAGTTTGTGATTATGCCATCCACACCCATTCTGAAAGAAAAAAAAAGGAGTCGACGAACCTGTTGGTTATCCAGATAAATATTGCTCCGCGTATCTTAGCAAAAACACTAGCGCAGCACTGTCAGCATGCCTACACAGTATTGCGGCTTGTTCGTTGCAAAGGAAATTGTATCGGTATGATTGCCAAAATTATACTACTGTGGTGGAGTGCTGACACATCCATGGGTGCCCCAGGCAAATATAGTTCTGGTCGGTAACAAAAATTAAGTATATGCTCGCACTGAAGGCTATCAAAGGCCGAATGTTCACGCTGGAGGTAGTGCATCTACTGAATTCTATATCTGTCCCTGACTACAGCATTGTACTACATCCTCACGTCTCGAGTCTTACCGAATCGAGCTGCGGATGGCCGAACTCAAGTCGATGGTCCAGTGATACACCTTGTCAGCGTAACTCCTGTCAGTCCTCGAGTCTCTGTAGCGGAGGGCCTCCTTGAGTCGGTTGGCAGGACGGAACAGGCTCAGGCAGTTGGACACACCGTCCCCCTGCCAGCGGTTGTGGTCGATGCCCAAATCCCCATACATCTTGGAGATCTCGTCCAATGGGTCGTTCAGGCCCACATCAAAACCTGCACGTGACGTTTGATAGAATTTGTCATTGAGGCATAAGGTGTAATCAGACTTGTACGTAACGAGTTACAAGTAACCGATTACTTGTAATGAATTACATTTTATTGTAACTTTTTAACGCTTCAATTACTTTATTTGTGTGGTAACGTTCGTTGTAATTTAATTACTATATTTTTGTACAAGTAATCAATTATATTCTTCTAAAAAGTCTGAAAATATTTTGCTGAGTATTTTTTGCGCAAAACATTGCTCTGTCTGTCCGTGCGTCACTAGTCAATGTTGCACCAACGTTGGACACTTTTGTTACCCCTAAACAACTAAAAATCAAGATACCAGAATGATTAGAATGTCAACGCGCTCAGCGTGGTTTTGACTGTCGAGCTACCGAGAGCGCCTGGCAACAGTGAAGCGCTTCGCTTCCTCGAGGACTCGGAAGTGTCAGTCGATGCACTACGCAACCACAAACTGACACGCAAAGAGTTTGTGCGCTGCAACACCGCTCTTCCCTCAAGCGCATCCGCCGAGAACGTCCTCAGCATCGCGGTAGATATCTTCACCAGGAAATATAGGAAGATGACTGACGAGACTTTCGAACGACACCTGCTTTTGAAGCTTAACAAGGTATGAATGACAAAAAAAAAATACAACTGAACCATTTTGAACATATGTATGACTGACAAACAAGAGGGACAATTAGGACAAACACAAAACTCCAAACACAGCTACCTGACTGGTGCGCGACCGAAAAAATCCGCCTGGTCCGGGTCTTGAAACCGGGGCCTCTCCTTTTCCAGTGAAGCGCTCTACCAGCTGAACTAACCAGGGGCTAGACGTCAGTAGAGCAAACAGGTTTTCTCAGCTGCCACCAGTCTGACACTAACAAGGGTGAAAGGCTTGCATTTTAAGGTTATAATAATAGTGCAATTAAACGCAAATGTGCAAGCGAGCTGGACAAGAATGACGAAAATCGCCATACTTGTCCAGCTCGATTGCACCTTTGCATTTAATTGCATTATAAATATGTATGATTTTTTATTTCGTGATAAAAAGCTAAAAAGATTTAAAGAAATCAATTACTTTCTGGTAATTTTTCAATTACTTTTGTGATGTAGTAATTGATACTGCAATCAGTTACATTTTTCAATAAAGTGATTATAATTGAAATTGGTTACTTTTTTTTAGTAGCGCGTGCAAGACTGGTTATAATATAAACATCTGCGCTAGCGAGATTCAACCCGTTTTAAAGCAATTATTACAGTGATTATATTTCTAGGAATCTTCAGGCCCCTTTAAGGTATGTTTCTGGCCTTTCATTTTCACCGCTAAATTTACCTAGGAAAATGACGTCACGACTTTATGTCACGTGACCTCCACAAAAGTTCAGTTTCCCCGCTAGATTCAGCGGGAACATTGACGTCACGTGGCTTCAAGCAATTCAGTTTTCCCGCTAAATTTAGCGGGGAAGATGGCGTTACATGCTTTGATGTCAAGAGACGTGTACAAAAATTCAGTTTTCCCGCTAGATTTATCAGAAGAACTGACGTCACATGATTCCAACACCAATTCAGTTTACCCGCTAAATTTAATGGGAAGATTGACACGAGACCAGCCTCGGCTCTTTTAGTTATGTCTGCAGCTAATCGTTTATTTAGACAACAACATGGTTGGTTCTGATTAAGTTTTTTAAATAATGTTGTGCGTGCAAAAAAAAATTAAGTAAAGTTAATTTGATAAAATGCGAGGGATAGCGGTATGTCTGCAAGACATCGAGATTACCTTGAGACTATAAATTTGCCCAGGAAACATCTCGAAACCTATATGCGTTACACAAGTCGTGTTCTTATGTGATATTACATATTCCCATTTGTTTTTTAAACACGTTCATGTGACTGAATTCACAAAGTAGACACACAGAATCTTTGTTTCCTACCTGTTGCAAGGAAACAAATGGAGGGCTACTAATGCAAATGATCAAATGTAAAGAAAGAAATAACAACTAATCGCCAGAGCTAATGCTAATTGCATTAATTAAATGACATCCCCGGCTCTTGAGTTACTACCACATCTCATATCTCCCCTACTCGTCCCGCAGTCGTGGCCGAGTGGTTAAGGCGACGAACTAGAAATCCATTAGGGTCTCCCCGCACAGGTGCGAATCCTGTCGACTGCGCAAACCTTTTTTTCTTTTTTTGTGAGCACGGACGGACGGACGGACGGACGGACGGACAAGGCTAGACCCAAAGGAGCTTCGCCCCTAATAGAGCTTACGGAATTTTATACAAATGAAACTCGACTAATGGTTCTCTTTCATCCCCAACAAGGCATAAAATGCCATGTCTGTAACACAAACAAAAAAACCTTTTTGTACATTATCGTTTGGGTTGTTATCAGCACCCTCAAATGAAAAGTTCTAAAGCTCAAAGCAACAATTTTATATCATGTGATTAGATGCATCAACTTTAAGTGATAAGTGAATTGGTCCTCACCTATTTTTTCGGCGAGTTCCGGGTCGCCGTGCTTCATAATTGTTTCCACGGCACCTTTGAATACTTCCTTGTCGGAAACGTGTCCAATCGACAAGAGCACGTTGACGGTTTTGTTGATATCGACTGGAATAAAATATAAAGTACGATAAGCACACATCCCTTCTCCATAGAATATGAATGTCAATGTCATCCACCATATAATATACAATTGTTCATCTTAAGTTCAATTGATCACTTTCGCATGGTGGTGGCATGGTGGATTCACACATTCCCACTTCAAAGAAAATATAGGTATAAATATACGCCTATAATTTGCACCAATGAACATACTTTTTTACTTCTTAAAAAAAAGTAGTATAGCGATTATAAGTTTTCGTCCCGCTTTTGTGGAAAAAGTTCAGCTAAAGCTCATACAACTTGCCGTTTTAAAGGGTAAAACAGGCTTATTGGTTAATTTAAGAAAAAAGCAGGAGAAACGCATGTATGGTTTTAATTAGTATAATACTCGAACTTGAGCCCAATACCCGAATACGGCACAAAAAATATCTCTAGTCATAAAATGCACGGAATCAAAAGATAATCTTATTTCTGTCATTGGACAAAAATGCCGGCGTGGAAGGTACATTTTACAGCGCTGCAACTTTGAGGGAAACAAAATGATGCAACATGTTTTTTTTCAAGAATTAACACAGGAGTACGGTGGGAAACTACCACTATAAATTTAAAAAAAAAACGAAGTTTTTTTTTGCTTCTTGAAATTCTTTGACTTCGTAATTCAGAACAAGGACATAACAATTTCCATCTTTGAGATAAAGCAATGATTTTACTATCATTCCAAATAAGGTATTAATAAAAATATGCGTCATAAATTGTAATATTGTATAGCTATTCAATTTGCGTAGATACAGTTCAGAAATCAAGTGGCAAAAACGTTAAAGGTGCAATGTTTGCGCATTTTTGACGAAAAATATATAACCTCCACACTGATGTACATAAATCACTCAATAGTTGTCATGATAAGTGCAAAATATTTTGAGATTTTTTTTTATAGCTGTAGTCTGCATAGTAGGTGTCACCATACATGACATAAACAAAAACTTCAAAAATCGAATATTCCGTTTTGGCGCACTCAAACTTTTTCTCTTTAAATATTATATTTTTGGAAAAATCGCTTTTTATTATGTTTCCTGCACATGTTGATTATGTAAAAGAATTAATAAAAACAAGAAATACGTCCAGACTCCCGTGCCTGATCTACTTTGAAACCACTTTCTTCATTTAAACAGTACCTAAAACCCACACCGTCGAGATATAAAAAGACAACTTTTATTTATTCTTGTTATGGAAAATATTTTTAATAACTAGACGGTGGTTTTAAAAGCGCAAAAGACTAAGAAGAGAAGAAGGGGACAGGACAGAGCGCTCTTTTAAAGCCGCAAAGAACTAAGATCTTAGTCCTTTGCGTTTCTAAAACCACCGTCTAGATGTTCAACCAACTAGTCCCCCAATTAATTCTGAAAATATATTTAACAAATTATAATATAAAACCTAAGGGTTTATATTTTTATGTTCCCTGCCCGCTTCAGACGGTGCGATTTCTCCCAGCAACTTAACGTCGCAACACCAAAAACACGGGCCGCCAAAGTTAACACACAGCAACCGGATTGCTACGATTTGCCATCGTCACAAATAAACTTTATCTTGCACTATTTATACACTCAGTTACGCCTTATAAGCGCGATTTTATATCTTTAAAATGAGTTGTAGAATACTAAATCATCTTTCTTAATTGGTCTATTCCCAACAACGACCCATTTCAAACCCGAACCAAGTCTTTAGTTGTCGTCATCACCGCCACAGGGGTATCACGCGAACATATTGCGTCTCTGATCGGCTGCTGCCGCTTCAAACGTCTCCCGAGTTGCTCATTCGTTTCGAACCGGATACGATCCGAGCAATTCGTGCCGCAGCGTCATGATCAAGGGAAAGCTAGGGAACAACTCGCCAGCAACACGGTCTGGATCTAGCCTAACCAGCTCGCGTGCAAACTTTGCTTCTTCCAATAAATCCATCCCCTGAAAAATATAAACTCGTATGTTTAGCTATAGGAGAACTATAAGACAGAAATAAGAAAATGTCCATCTACATGTTCTATATGACATTAAACATCTTACTATACCGATGAGGGTAGAACATGTTTTCCTTCGGTGCATAATTTTGGTATCATTACACAGGCTTGTACTCGTTTTTTAAAAGGTGTTGTCTTGTAAACTCTACGCGCATATGATTAAGTAAGAGCATATAAGAACAATGAAAGATTATATAAAATGATATAAGAAACCTCTTATATGTATCTTATATGAGGTTCTTATATGCTATTATATGATCTTATATGATCATATGCACTTATTGAACCCAGAAATGTTTTGTATAAATAAGATTTTTATCTAGGTTGTGCCTAGACATAGCCGTTACATTTCATTAAACGTAGGTTTAAATGAAGAGGAAGGATTAAAATTACATCCCAGGTCAAAGAATCGACGAAAATAACTTTCAGTGACGAAACGTCTGAGTAAAAAAGAAACAAACATCGGGTGTGTAAATAAACGTGCAACGTGTTTGTCATAATTACGAAAAACCCAACATTGGAATGAAATAAGGGATATTTTAAACATGGGAACTCGTGCCTGTCATGACTATATTCCGGTATACGAAATCCCGATGCATTAAACTATTTGACACGCATCGCGTCATAGAAAACCCTATAGCCAGTAATGTCTAAAGCACTTCGGCAAACAAGAATCAAGCTTAGATATAAACTTTTTTCTTGTTTTTATAAGAGCGTAAAACAAACGCCACTGTACTTCTAGGCATGACTGTGGAACAAATAAACGATCCGAGGGCTCAAGTGTATTATTCGGTGCTGAACGCGAAATGTATCTCCAAAGGAGACATCACGTTGTTAAATGTGTCCATTTTTCCAGCTTACCATTGTACCACAGGTGGTCCAGGAGCTTTTTAGCGATGTCTTTTCCCGCTTTCACTTTGCTGTCAGGAGGTAGGTCGGTAACTTTCAAGTCCAGGAATAACAAAGCCACGTGGTCCTTGTACTTTGCATCGCCTGCGAAAAACGACGGTGTTGTTCGCTATGGATTCTCGCATAAACTCATCATTTAATAAAGTGACAGCAAATGAGGATAATTAAAACCTATGAGCGGGCGTACTAGCCCAAATTCTATTATATAATTTAATGCAATTAGCATTAGCTCTGGCGATTCGTTGTTATCTCTTTTTTTTTACATTTGATCGTTTGCATTAGTGGCCCTCCATTTGTTTCCGTGCAACGGGTAGCAAACAAAGATTGTGCGTCTAGTTTGTGAATTCAGTCATATGAACGTCTTCAGAAAACAAATGGGAATGTGTAGTATCACATAAGAACACGGCTTGTGTAACACATATAGGTTTTGAGATGTTTGCTGGGCAAATCCTAAGGATTTAGTTTTAATTGGGCTATGCATTAAAAGTTCAAGCAGCCACATTGACCAGCGCTAGTGAAATACGGCATACATTTGTCTCGGCGATTCTTAGCCACACGCAGTATTGGAGCATCAGAGTTTTCCCAATGTCAGGTACCTATGCTGTGCTACTATGTCGTTACCTTTTTATGAGCAACACATTGCCCGTTTATTGCCGAAGAAATATAAATATATGGATGCTGCTTAAAAAAATTATTTCGTTGAAGGTCTCCATTTCTATTAACAGTGCTTTTACATTAACTGAAAATAGATCCACTTCTGTGACTGGGGAGGGAGGGGGGGGGGGGGGCTTTATACCAGCCAGAGTTTTCCACGCATAAATTAACAGATCGAATCAAAATCTAAAAATTGTTCTCACTGGTACTGGTGACCTTGCGGATGTACTCCAAGTAGTCCACAATGTTCTCGCGCTGGAAGCAGTTTCTGAAGCAATCGCAGGGACTGCCATGGAACGTCTGCTTCGCCGTTCCGTCGCTGCTGAACGTCACGTCGGCCTCGATGGCGTTGGCACCGAGCCTGAGGTACTGGTCCACCTCCTTGATGGAGTTCACCATGTGGGCAATGTTGAAGAACGGACGCTCGAGTTGATCCCACGACTGCGTTCCACTGGCGGCGCGGAGTATTGACTGCGTGAAAAGTATTATACAGGTTAATTAGTTAAGAAAAAAGTCGGGTGTTGATTGGGCTCAATAATACAGGTACAGAGTACGCGGACTTGATTCATTAGCGCAGCAGATTATAAGATTATAAACAATTATAACATTAGGGAAATTCGAGATGGCTCTACATGTTTTTAAGTTAAGTCGTATCGGTTTGTTCAGTTAAGAGGTTTCCAGTAAATTATATATTTTGCTTTACAAGAAAAGCATTTGCGAGAATTATTTTTTACATATGAAATGCGTTAAACTGCAAGGTGCAGCCACTTCGCATCAACATTGTTATTGCGACTTAAGACTGTGACTCTAACTTATAGATTAGGAAGGCCAATTTGTACAAACGCATAAATAAGGAGCATGTGTAAAACATTATTTTCATAGCAACACTCGAATGAAGCCTGATCTGTAAAACAAACCCAAAATTGTCTCACATTAAATTTTCAAAAAACACTTCCCGACTGTAGTGTACGAAAAACCTCTAACGTGTAATCTAACCCGGTTCAACCTTTAACACTCCGATTTGGCGGGAAGGTATGTAGACTACAGGGTGAAACAAGAAGACGGCAGGCTCTTTAAATCGACCGGAAAATTCGGTTTGTTAACCTATAGCGCTACAACTTTGTGCAGCGTTGCCCACAGATGGTGCTTTTTTTTGTAAAATTTGCGAAGAGCGAACTTACCTGAGGAAAAAGTAAAGAAAGAAAAGGGCTTAGTTCCTATGGAAACGCAGCGACGCCACCGGTCTTCGACCAACACGGCGCCGTTTCGCACGGGAGACAAGAGATGGCGCAACAAACGCCGCCAACGAACGAGAATACGGCGCCGAGAGCAGGCCTTTTTAGCAGACGATCTTTTCGACTCAAAAGCGGCGCGCGTTCCGCACGCGGCGACAGCGCGATAGGTTAAGAAACCGAATTTTCCGGTCGATTTAAAGAGCCTGGCGTCTCCTTGTTTCACCCTGTAGAAGTAATTTTGGATCCGAGCGTGACCAACAGCTAAGGCTGCTGTCGAACTGGTGCAAAGCTAATAATAATGATGCTTGTATGTTTATACAGCCGAAAGTTAGTCACCCTCAATGGGCGTCTGCTGTCTCAGTTGTAAATGAGAAATTTAGCCAGTGCAGAACAACTGCTATCATGGGGTCTTTAACGTGCATCACGCAAAAGTGATGCAAGATCGCACGCCGGTACGGTGCACATCCAAATCGAAACGGGCAGGGGTGGGGATTGAACCCAAGATCACTGGGTTTCCTAGGGATCTTTGGTTAAGAGGAAGCCCAACTTTACACCCTTGTCCAACGTTACATCTCAGTTCCAACGTATGACATTTGCGTGATCTGCTAACAAAATCTCGATTCCGACTACGAGCGTCGCACGTGGAACACGCACGGAATGGCCCATCGCTCAATATCATTAATTAAAAATTGTATTACGTTTTATGTTACAGGGGTGTTAGAAGAAGATTAAGCGAGAACGCGCAGTTTAACGAATTTACTCTAATTTTACGCACGAAATATTAACCTATCTGTTTATATTTCTGATTCGATTAAAAAAGTAATGAGTGCGCTAAGGGGAACTAAATATTTTGAAAACCTGTCAGTAGTTTTCAGGCGTTCGGTTGCTTGAACGGGCCAAAAACAATAAAAGAAGAAATGCTTCCCTTCCCAGCAAAATGTTTTCCACGGATTCAGAGTAAGACGCTGTTCTACTGCGCCCATTTACTAGAAAATTGAAACCAATAACAAAATACCAGAGAACCGTAGCAGTAATAGGTCAAGTCGCTCGATACTGAGCGCCACCTCAACGATCAACAGGGATGACGATGCATATTTTGCTCCAGGAACGTATCCCGTTCGTCAACTTAACTAAGGCAAAATATGCCAAGTCACTCGGCTGTTGATGCATGCGCGGATGGTCCGGGAAGAGAGCTCGTGCGCATGCTCAGAACGCGTTCCTCGGCCCAGTGGACAAAGAGGGTCGCGCGCAGAAGACGGCAACTAAAATGATAATAGTATATGCGTTCATTTTCTTCCTAAAACTAGCAACCGCCACGCCAGTGAGTGGCGCTAAGGATGTCACTCTTTAAGGATGAAATCCAATTCAGTTTCCTTACTAGATATAGCGCTAAAATTGGCGTCACGTGATCAATGCGCCAAATCATTTACCCCACAATATAATAAAAATGCAGGTTCTTTACTGCTCCCAAAAACCCTGGAATGTCTTCTAAACAAATTAAAACGATCGCTCCTTAAGCACTGCATTTCATGTATTATAGTACATCGGAGATTAATGCCGCGGCTAATTTGTTGTTAAAAGCACTACGTATGTCTTTTATTTGGATTCTCAAATAAACCTCTCATGCTGTGTTCTTTGCAGAATGGGCTTTTTTTTTTTTTTTTTTTTTGCAGACTCATTTTTATAAATTTTGGGAAAGCCACACTACTTTGATCTATGCAGGTCACATTAGTGCACTGCAAAAACGCGGGTAAGAGACGTAAAAACAGCAGGGGCGTGTTTTCGCACCATGCACTCCAAGTCTTTCTGAAATTTACAATTTACATTATTATAAATTAGCCGACTTATCGGAACGATTAGCCAGCCCTTGTATCTTATGTCCCCCTGGTCGTATAACTCACCTGCGCTGACTGTATTATAGTAGCTTTCAAGTATACATATATATATATTTGTGTGTGTGTGTGTGTAAAGCCTAAGAGAAAACCTGTAAGAGTAGCGACATTTTCAGATTTTCTAAAACAAACCGTCAGGTTGAAACAACCGTATTTGTAGATTCAGAGTATAAAAATACACCACCCTAAAGCAGAAACGTGTGCTTTTTACAGATGACAAAGAGACTCGCCAGAGCAGCCGCACAAACCGGCGCCACATAGCTTACCATTGCGACGTAAACCAAACAGGCAGTTGTTGCAGGCCGGACTGCGTGAGCTGTCCCCATGACTCCTTCGTGCTTCTGGAATAGGAAATTCGGAAACGCATATAGAAACTGCAAATAGATGGGGATGGAGAACGCTCCTTTATTTCATTTTGTAAAATTTACTTCATCTGATTAGCCGATAATATCTTCCTCAGCCCGGTAGCGTTCATGAAGCAGAAAAGTGGAACGTGCGTTTATTCTCGCCTGTAGTACCTGGCGCATACTTACTCGTAATTCCTTAAGTACAAAATATTAAGCCAGAAGATCAGACAAACTTGTATGCCGTATAACCTAGGCCAAAGAGACTTTTAGCAAACCGTACCCGTGTTCCGCGTACCGCACTACCGGAGCATTTGAAGCATGTTTTTAAGCGTGCACTCGGGTAATAACCGTGACTGCGGGGCGCGAGCTTAAAAGCGTGCAAGTATAAACGCAAATTATATTCTTTAACTGCACTGGCTATATCGCTATATCGCTACAGTTAATCTGTCAACTCTGACGGAACGAACTGAAGAGTAAAACTCCTCATTAGATCTAAAATATACTTGGTATCCCGCTATGGTGCTCTTATTACTCGTCCAAACTAAGATACCTTTTACGAAATTATGAGCCGCTTTCGGCTGCAGCTCTAGCTTTTATTAGGCACCTCACTCGGGGAGATAAAGCTCATATTTTGGATGCAATATCAGAAAATATTAGTTATTACACGATACGCAGTCGACCGCAAACAAGCTTATGAATGAAATACAATCCTTCACTCGATCTTCCATTAAGATCGACCGCAGCCTAAGTTGCGATCGATGGCACCAATCAAGCAGCGTCAAAAGTGCACCATCACGGCGCACGTCGTCTTTGTGCGTCCGGCTATACCCAACTAAAAAAGAAAGCCCAGGATCCTGGGGCATTCAGTGGGTGATCAGTTTAGCTGGAGATAGGAAACGGCGGAATGAAAACCAGCGCCGTAAAGATGCACTTTGGGAGCGGCTTTAATTGTCCCCATCGAATCGCAACGTGGACCGAAAGCAGTGCAGGTCTAAACGGCGGGCAGGTGTTCCAAAAATGTGTTTTTTAGCACATGAAACCTTGCGAGAGGCATACTCCGGCCTTTCCTTCAAAGTCCTGCAGATTCGCCTGAGAATTTGCTAAACACACTAACAAACATCACTGAACTAGCAACCCAACTATTAAGCCAAATATATATTTTTTCGCGAATTCACCGAATTTACCATTTTGGTCCTTCCCGTGTTTTTCAGACTGAAAGTTTCTACGGGCCACAATGAAAAAGTCATGTCAGCGGAAGGCAGGGATTCATTCTTTTTACTGTAGACTTTGTTCCTAACCGATTACTGCAGTTTTATAGTGTCAAATGAATGCTTTGGAAGTTCGCTCAAGCGCACGCGCAGCAGCACAAAACAAATGGTCGGCATATTCCCTTTTTAGGCTGCCCGCTCGACCTGCAAGCCTGCCATCTGTATACTGATTCCTGAGCCACAGAATCTTTCAGAGCGCAGCTCTGAGGCGACCGTTTCTGGCTTGAGCGGAGTCGCCGTCGCCATCGTAACGACGCATTGCATTATGGGTAAATTTCTCCGCTAAATTTAGCGGAAGAACTTCCCCGTTAATTTTGGAGGGCAGGAGAAGAGGAGGAAGCGAAGATACGGAGGGGGAAAGGGCATACCTTCCCCTCCGTACCCTCCCCTCCTCCTCCTCAAAAGTTGCGCTCTAATTCGGCACAACTGAGAATCGTAAACGTATTTCATTTTTTTTTTTCTTGGTTAAAACTTTTGAGTAAAGAAAGTGTTTTTTTTTTTTGTTGTTGTTGTTGTTGTTTTTTCAGAACAGACATGCACGACCCAGCCATATATTTCTCCGGTGTCTGGAGAACAGCACGGAAAACCGATTTTTCAGATTTATTTAAAGTTGATTCTATCAGTTGGGTCTACCAAAGTCACATATTCCTACAGCATCTGGGGATTTTTTTAGATTGATTTAAAGTTGATTCAATCAGGTGGGTCCACGCTGTAGTAAAGGA